TTCAGTGCAGATAAGCCAGCCGTAAAAATGGCTAAGAAGGTCTGTGGGGAAGTTCACTATAGATTTTAATTTTCATCTAATAATTAAAAAATGCTTTTTAATCTATGAAGAGAGGGGAACAGCAGATCTGCTCCAACAAAGCCTGAAGCACACATTTAAGGTCTGTAACAGACTGTGGGTGGAGAGAAACACCAGTAAGCTCAGGAATGGTTTCATTTGGAATCGTAGCAATATTGTACTTCCCACGTCACCTTTGTACCAAACCTGGAGCAGGATGATTGCAGAGGGAGCTGTTTTCCTGGTCTGCTGTGTTAGCCCTAGAGGTGTTCCAAGGCTGGAATTATAAATGTGCTACAGTAGGATTGACTCAACTCTCCTAGGGCTGATTGGGAAATGCTCAATAACTTGGACTTCAGGTGTCCCTTAGCAGAGCCCAAGGGCATCCTCAGGATTGCAACACAGACAGATTTACCAGCCCTGGTAAAGGGCCCTAGCACAGGCCAGTCACCTGCTTTGAAAGGGGTGTGGCTGACCTGGAACTGCATCCAGTCATGAACTGAAATGCTAGGGATGTTGAAAGTCGGGATTGCATGGGTCAAGCTGTGTGTGAGGCTTCATGACTGATGGGAGTAATTGAGGATATTTATTTTCCAGCACTGGATTGGAGTGAAAGACCAGCTCTTCAATCCTTTGTTTTAATCCAACGCTCTGAAATCTGAGTTCAAACCGAAGCAAAACAGAAAATTCTTATTTTAAAGACAAGGAGAGTGCGAGAGAAGCCCCTAATCAAAATGTTCTGATAATTGAGAATTCTGCTGGTGAAAACTAATATTGGAGAGTCATGCAGAGAGCAGGAGCTAAACCTTCCCACTTCTTACCCAGAGCTGAGGACTGACCATGAGTGATGGCAGCATGCTTAGGCAGTGCCACTGCTCCCTCAGAGCCACTCTCTTTACCGCTGACCCAGCCCCCAAATCTTCACCATGGTGTCCTCAGTGTATCTCACCCATGTTTCAGCCTGGTGGGAGCAGTCCCTCCGAGCTGTGTTCCCTCCTTTTCTCTCCAGCCAGTCTCCTAGTTTCATAGCCTATTCCAGGCTGAAGACTTCTTTTTTTTCTCCTTTGTGTCATCCAGGAAACACACCCACCTCTCTTGCTCCAGCCTCATATTCTGCCTCACTCAGAGATTCTGTAACTCATGAGAAGGAATTTCAAGCAATGCTAACTGTGGCAATTTTTTTTAACCATGGAAATTAGAGATTGGAAAATCTTGCTAGCTCATCCAGTCCATTATTTTACATTCTAGCCTAGCCCAATTCCTGCAAGATTCTTGCCTGCAATACATTTTCCAGTGCATTATCCAGCCTGCATCTTTGCTTCCCATGAGAAGCTGTACCACAGAGGACTACTTTTCACTGTTTGGAAGAGGTTTCTGAAGCTTTCTTTCCATTCTGCCTGACCTAATTTCTTTAAGTTCTGCCTGTGGTAACATGCCAGCTGGGTTCTCCTGCCTTCATGCTTACCTCGTTCAGGTGATGGCAAATAATTCTTGTTCAGTCAAGCTGTTTAGCCACAATGCTTAATGCTTAGTTGTAAAGCTCAGCAATAATAGTCCTTGGCTACCTGGAAGAGACTAACATTGAGATTAGCATGTTAATGGGTGCACAGAGCACAGCAGACATTGCTGGTTGTGTTGCCTCTTTATTGTAAGAGTCACTTGACACACTCCATCACAAGGTCTGGCCTTGGCTGCCTTTGCCTTTGCCAGACTTGAAACCAACATCATCTAGCTCATGTCTGCTTCAGTAGTTTTATAGGGCTCTTTTTGGTTTTGTTTTTAATTTCAATCATGACCACTTTGCTATTTCTTGAGAACAAGGCTGGCAGGGGAATACTCTGTTTTATCCACATTTTAAAAATCCTAATTACTTTTTCTTTAAAAAAAAAACCCTAACAAACCACATTTTGAGCTATGTCTTGCATTAAAATAAATCCCACTTTTTCTGTCAGAAACAGATCTTTTGTCATCTGTGACAAAGGCCCCTGCAAAGTTGGCTAAGTAATGGGTTTTTGAGATATTGCAGCTTGGGCCTGCTCAGAAAAAAATAATGGGGGCTAGGAAGGACTGTTGTTTATCTTTTTTTTTTTTTTTTTAACTGTGAGCCTGATGGAAAAATAGCACATGGGTTAAGACCCAGGTTATAATGTACTTGCACAAAGGCCCCTAGCAGTGAATGCAGGGTCACCTTGTTCTGGTCTTCCTTGGGCCATGATGCTGTCACTGTGCCTGGCCCTTCCTTTCCATGGCTGGGTCACCCTTGGGAACTGATGTCCTTGGCCCTTGCATGGAGCTGGGGTTACCTGGGCATGCGGAATCCTGGCTATGAGGAAACAGGGAGGTGTGGAGAGAGGAGGAGAGACAAAACAAAACAAAACAAAAACCTAACCCAAAGAAAGGCAATCAAAAAAAAAAATACAGCAGAAGAGAGGCAGACGCCCAATTTCTCTGCTGGCTGTCTCCAAAATATTTGGTGTTTTTGTTTTTAACCACTGGGGCACTCCTTCCCCTCAGGACTTGTAGGGAAGCCTGGGTGCCCTGAAACTCCCCTGGCACAGCATACACGTGCTGCATCCACCCCGTGCCCATGGCAGTGACACCATCTGATCCTGGCATCCCACTGGGCCTCCAAGGCACAGGGCCAGGGCCCCACATTGGTGTCACTGCTGCCCTGTCCTGACCTGCCTCCTCCCTGGTGCACAGGTGGCTTCAGCGTGCTGCCCACCACAGCGTGCAAGGCCATGGAGATTGGATTTGACAGCAGGACTGTCCGTGAAGCCACAGCTCCAAAATGCCATAAAGGAATGGAAAGGAATCCCAAATCCTCATCAAATCTGAGGAAGAAATGAGATGCCCTCAGTCCTGGATAATTATCAGGATATCCAGAAAGATAAAAGGCGCAATTGTAATATCTAGCATGATTGTTTTCAAAGCATCCACTGTAACAAAAGCCCTCTTCTCAGCCCTGTAAGGAAAGCTGGTCTCATTTTTCTCTTCAGACAGCATATTAGACGGTGACCTCTCTGATCTGTGCTTGCTAGCACCCTTGCTCTGTCAGTGAACCCAGCCTGAGAAACTCATTCGTGCCTTCTGGCCACCATGCTTACTGCATTACTTGCCATGCTGCCTCTTTATTCATTAATCCTTCCCCTCCCAGTTTTCTCTTCCTCCCCCTTTTTTTTTTTTTCTTGTCAAAGCAAGGAGTTTTTAATAGCTAAAGAACGAAAACACCTCCCACGCCTTGCCTTAAAAAAGCTAACTCTCTGTCTTACTCACTCTTTTAGATTTGCAAACCTTTCCTGCTAGCTTAGATGTTTCGTTTGAGGCACTGGTTCCTCAAATACCAGCATGTGAGTAGAACCTTAATGAACTATGTAGCTCCAATGACCTTGAGAGGACAATCCATGTGAATAAATAAATCAGAAGTGGAATGGACACCATGGGATTTTGCAGAGATGGAAAAGGTTTCTGGTTTACATTGTGATTTGATTGGAAGAATAAGACATTACAAAGGACTGTATTCCAGGATGGAGTGGTATCTCCCTCGCAAAAGAATTTTAGCAGTAGGCTTGAAGTTTTTCAGGGTGCTAAGGTCATTGTGATGCAGATGGATTGATTAAATAATCTTTGGAGGCTTCCTCTAACTCTGCTTATTCTGATTCCCCATGGTGAAATGGGGAAAAAGATAAATTGAAGCAAAGAACAATTGCTTTAGTCTTCTCATTTCCATGAGTGAAACCAAAGTGCAGTATGGTTTAACTGTATTGTTTCAAATGATTTTTTTTTTCTTTAAAACATATTAAAAATATCCTTGACTCCAAGATCACCTTCATCTGTGTGAAGCACTCTCTGCACAGATTAATTTTAGGTCCTCAAATTTTTTCATTACCAAAACAGAATGTCTCCCACTGTCTTTGTGCTGATTCCAGTATCAACAAGGATCTCCTGTGCTGTAGATTTGCATCTGTAGGAATGACTCCAAGGACCCAACTTTATAGTGTGCTGAAATAAGACCTATTTTGACCTATGAATCCAGCCATGGCTATGTTGAGCTTAGCACAGTTTGGTCTGTTCCTGGACTTAGGTTTGTACCCTGCGTTGTGCTCCCTACTGCTGGAGTGAGATTCCTAGCAACACCCAATTAAAACAAGCACTGATTGTTTACTCCCCATCACTGCCACTGCTTTGACTGCAGTGTAAACGCACCACTAATGACTTGGCCGATGGGAGGGGAAAATGATGTGTCAGAGCCAAGTACAGAACTAGGAATTTGGGCCACCAGCCAGGTGGTTAGATCACAGTGTGTGCCTCTAATGAAACACATTGATTTGTGACTCTTACAATAACATTTTTAGGAAATCACTTCACTGGGTATTTATTTTTGTGTTGGAGCAGCCTGGTCAGGTTGGAAAACTAAAGCAGACACTGTTTACAGAGCAAGAGTAAAATTTTAGGAGTGAGATTAATTAATCATTGGAATAACTTTTCTAAGGATGTGATGGGTTCTCCATCATATTCTGCTGCACAGTCAATACCAGGTAGTTGTATAAAATATGTGCTATAGCTCTGGTAGGAGTTCTGTGTATCACTAGAGGTGATTATCCAAAGTTATTTGGGTTTTGTTACATGTGAGAGGAGACTATGTTGTTGCAACGGTTCCTCTTGATGATAAAAAGCCCCAGGAGTCTGTGGTAGTCATTGAGTCTGAGTGTTTGTGATTCTAAGTAGTAACAGACTGAGATCTTGTCAGTGGTAGATTTAAAAGTAGCAACAATTTTCATAGAGGGGACTACCAAATTACAAAGGCTCATTCTGCAGAAGTGGACGCCCTGCCAATCTAGTGGCTGATATACTGTGCTGTGATGATTTAGCGAGCTCAAAAAGAATTAAACCATCAATAAAATGACAGACTTGGTGCATTTCAAAGCGTCTGCTCAGATCTCATGGAATTTCTTGGCTACTACATGCTCAGTCAGACAGACAGACATGGGGGCAAATCCATGATCACCTTGTAGTATTTCACTGGATGCCTCAGAAGAGCAGATGGGAATAGTGAGCAGTAGATAAGGTAAGCATTTGTCTGCTTGGAGTTTTGTACAGACCCTTTTCTGAACTGGCACCTCTTTAACATCCTTATAGATCTATGTATAGATCTGTGTAAATTTGAGGTTTTCTTGTCTGTTTACAGTTTATGGTTAGCTAAGTTACATAAATGCTATTTTTTTTCTGTGTGCTCCGGTGAACACATCCTAGAGTTTAAGTACTCTGTGAAAAGCAACCACCTAGCCTTATATATAATATATAGTCTTGTGTTTCCTATCCAGAAAATGAGACACCTAGAATCTCTAGTGAGTCCTCAAAGTCTTTGTTGATGCATGTGATTTTTTCTCCTTTTCATGTCTGCTTTCTGTGTGGTTTTTGAGTGTCTGACAACCATAAAGATTAGGAAAAAAATCCAGCCAACTAAGACTTGTTTTGAGAAAAAAAAAGAAGGGAAAAAAAAGTAGTTAGGTCCAAACTGACTGACTGGTTTGTCCATCTTTAAGATGCATTTACTTAGTCCAGGTCAATCTTTGTTTATGCCACACTCTCAGTGTCTAGCAATGTAAGCTGATCATCTTAGAATTCACCTTTAAATGTGCTTAGACTAGAAAAAAATATGCCTGGTGAGGTCATTTTCAGAGCAAGAGTTAATGCATCATGCAAACAGCTAAATAAAGGTTACAATCTGAGTGGAATTATTCAGAGCTCAGGGAGAAATCTGGCATTTGCAGTCTGTCACTGGGTTTGAGAAGTCTGGCTCTCTCCATGTCATTGTCACTCGGGAGACATCCTGCTTTCTGCGCGGCAGTGAGGGAGGGGACTGCGGCTCCAAGTGATCTTCCTGTAAAAACGGCAAAATCAGGAGCGGTGGGAAGTGTCATGTGCGAGGAATGTGGGGAATGAGGGGTGAGTATGAACCTGTCTTTGTCCAGTTTTCACAGAGCGACTCCATGGGTCTAAATAGCCACCCTTCCTGCTCTCCCTTCCTCTCCAGGTCAGCTGAAGAGCCAATGTCAGGATGGCAAATGGTCCCTGATATCCCTGGAGCATCGCTGCATGGGGGGCTGTGGGGAGTCCTGTGCCTCCTGGGGCCCACCAGTTAAACACTGCAAGTTTTGGGCCCTATCTGGCAAAGTCTCCTCGACCTTCTTTTCCACCAACATCCCTGGGAGTTGAATTTGTCACTTTAGGGCAGGATATACCCAAGCCAGGGATAGAGCCAGGATGAAAATGCATCACTTGTCAATGCCCAGGCTTCTTTAGAGTTGGCAATCTCCACAGTGATGCTGTGCGACGATTTTGGGAGTTTTTGCATTTTGTTTCCTTGTTTTGTTTCTATAAGTCAGGCATTTGGCTGATTGCACAGGAAATCAACTGCTATGGGCATTCACTTCAATGGGCGAATTTTAAACGAGTCACCAGGGACTGGCTGCTGCTGAGTTCAAAGAGAAAGAGGCATCCAAAAACTCTAGCCAAGCTAAATGATGGTGGGAAATATCAGATACAAAGAGGAGAAAACTGAAGGCACAGCAGGGTGAAAGACAGATACAGTTGATTTTCCTGTCTATAATAGGTCAGATTGAGGTGAGGTTAATATAGAAAATTAAAAAAAAAACAACCAACCAACCAGCCAACCAAAATCCAAACCAAAACCAGATAAAATCCCCATAATTTTGCAAAGGGGAGTTTGTTGAACATCAGGAAACATGCTCTGGTGTTGGTGTTCTATGAGTTGGGTGCAATAATCTGGGGAAATTTAATGTGATACTTGACAAAATATTGTGAAAAGTGTTGGAAAGAATAGTTTCATGCAGGGTAGAAGGTGAGCGAAAGCCAAGCTCCTGCAATCATTCCTCTTTTTTTTCTTTTCCCAGTGATTTCAAGGGTTCCCATACTCAGATAATTCCAAGGGACAGATCCACGCCCCATTTCAGAGTCAAGGTAAAGAGTTTGTATTCATAAAAATGTTGCAAAAAAAAAAGAAGGGGACGGGGGGAGGAATTTCAAGGGAAGGAATAGCAGTCTAAACTTCGGTGTTGCTTTCCCCCAGCATACATGTGAGCAGCAGAGAGTCCCAAAAAGAAGACTAGAGAAAGATTGCCATCTTCTGGAAGGATAAATATCTGCCATTATTCAGAATACTAAATCTGCTATAAGCATATTTTTTAAACCATAGCATATTTCTGATCAATTTCTCAACATGAATTCTTATTCATATTAAACCAATTCAGTTTAATTTCATCAATATATATGCCATGAACTCAGCTTTAGAAACGGACAAAGAATCTTGGGTTTTAATCATACTCTAACCAAGCTTAAAATTAGGAAGGTGTTAAGGATTATCAGTAGAGATGGACTTTATTTATTCTTGAGCTCGTAAACCAGGTTTTGTTTCTTTTTTTTTTTTTTAACTGAACATTTAGAAGTTAAATTTAAGGTGTCCAAATGTGGATAGAATGCAAAACAGAAAGCAAAAAACCACTCTCCTTTTAAATGGCATCAGCTGTTGTTCTACCTACTCCAGTAAATTAAGTACATCTGTTTCAAACAGAACCTCTTTATTAATCAAAAACCTGCAGGCAGTCCATGGAGCACAGGGACATTCAGCATTGCTTTCAGTTAGTCCGTCTTAGAAACGCTTATCTACATTAGAGGAGTTTATGCAGCGACTGGGATTAAAATAACCCCAGAGCTACTGCCCATTCTGCTCAGGGCAGGGAGGGTCAGGAGCCTGGCATGGCACGGCCCATGTGCTGCCCGTGCACTCCTCCGTCTGCTGCCCGTGCTGTGTGGGGCTGTCAGAGGCTGTGCTGTCACCCACAGCTATTCCTGCACTGCTCCAGCCTCTGCGCTCTGGGTTGGACACAGGGGATGACAATGGATGCACCACTGGTTTCCTCTGTCTTGGCAGAGCAGCATGCAGGGAATCTGCCTTGTTCCCTCCCAGTGGTGGAACGAGCTTCACCCGCTCGGCACTGGGCAAAGCGCTTGTGGGGAGGACAGGATATGTCTTCCTTTGGGATGTTCCCCTCCCTGATGTTCTCCTCCCTTGCAGTGTGATTCAGTGCTGCTCTGCTCCACAGCTTTGAGTACCTTCTCATGAGAGGTGGTGACATTCTTACTTTTCATGGGTTTGATACCACACAGGTATTTTGAGAACCTTTAAAGTTTCAGGACAAGAGCTCAGAGCTGACTTTGTGTCAATGTGAGTCTCTGTCTCTTCTTAGTAGGTTCGCAAATTCATCCAATGTGAACCAGCTGGGATTCCCAGTGACCTTCACATTTTGGTAAAAGCTGCCACTACAAGTGACACTGACAATCTACCTCATTGTCCTATGCTTTGACTATTGGTTTGACTTGCTGCTGTTTCAAACACCTCCTTTGTGGTAGTGATGCCATGGTGTCAGTCTGCTACTCAGCAGCTCTTCTGCTAAGGGGCTCCTTTTGGCATCGAAATTTCCAGAGCTGCATTAGTAACTCTTCAGGGACTGAAATCCTCAGTCCTCAGAGCAGATGCAGTTGCATAAACTTTCCTCTCCCCATTTACTTTATTCTGCCCTTTCTGCAACTCCTGGGTGTGGCCAGGAAGATATCCTAGGATGCTTTTGGTCTTTGCCATTACACTGAGACAGTGCACAGTGCAAGGGGTGACCTGATGCCAAGGGTGCTGGCAGTTTCCCAGCTAAGGTCACTCCTCCCCTGTAGCATTGGCCAAAGCTGCCATCTTCCTCCATACAAGCTCCCAAATAGCTACCATGTGGGGATGGCTGGAATCTTTCAGTGTTTTAAAGAAACTTTCTACTCAGTTAATACAGGTCACTCTTCTGCACTTAATCCCAACCCGCTGCACCAATCACTTCCCATATAATCTTCCAGAACAGCTGTGCTCTGATTGCATTGTGGATTACAAAATGACCATTTTCCACAAAACAGCTGCTGATCAAAGGGATAGCATTTAATAATCACTGGTGAGGAGAAGGAGGAGGGGACCAGACAAAGGAGGAAGGGATTTTGCAGCAATTGGGTTTCTTGGGGGATATAGAGATGAACAAAACAGCAGACAAAGCGTGAGTCCCACTTCTGTGCTGTTCATCCAAATTAACAGGACTTCAAAGACTTGCTGCTAAGGTAAATTCAACTATCATTCCTTTTTGGGGCTATCTAGACATTATGGTTGGTTTCTATCAGTGAGTGCTTGGTTTTTGTGAAGGGAAGCTTTTCTAACAATGTTTTCAGGAAGTAGTTTAGATTTGCTTCTCATTCCATATGTCTTCTGCATCCTTGATCCACTTCCTACTTCTGACTCATTTGTTTCTTGTACTTTTTATGTCTTTTCCTTAACACTCTTCCTGAAATTATACGGCCTTTCAACTACTGTCATAAATCAACTGGAGAGAATATTTTTCTCACTACTGAAGATTTAAATTAGAAAGATGATTTTTGTAAATATTGTGAGTGTAATTTTTTTTTTTGTTAAATAAAAGCATTAGCAACCTAAAACCTGATGACAGAAAATCTTATAATTAAGCATTGTTAAAAAACTGAAAAACTTTGTGTGCTGAAGGTTTCAATTTTCAGGTGAAAAACTGTGGTTTTGAGAAGAGCAATTTTGTCTGCAATTTCCTTTTCAGTCATAAGCCAAATTTTCCACCAAAAAACTTTCAGTGAGAAGTTTTCCACTAATCTTAGCCAGGAACTCTTCCTCGTAGGTGTCTTCTCTGTGAAAATGGTAATATTCAACATGCCTTCAAATCATGAAAGCCATTAGTTATGGCATCACTAAGATGTTACCATCTCCAGGGTGCAGAAAGAAATGTCCTGCTGAAGAGACAAAGGAGCCAGAGTACAAAACAACACAGGAAAATTTCAGGAGCAGAGTATTTTCTTGCTTTCAATGAGGGTTTTCAGGGTCAGGCACTGCTTTCTCAGTATGGTGAGATGCTAATAAGATCCTGCTTTTCAAGAGGAGTTTCTGCACTGTCTTTGTTGACCGTGTTTCCAAGCTTGCTGGGTAGCAGAAAAAATTGGTTCTAATTGGTTTATGTGTGGTGCAGTCACAGACAATGCAAAGCTGGGTCTGTATTGTTTATTTATAGTGATGTCCACAGAATGGTTTTTCTCACACGTTCAGCCTTGGGTGAGTCAGCCAAAGTTAAGTGAAGAGGACCCGCAGCAGGCAGTGTCTGTACAAGCTGAATCTATTCATGGGTAAATAGATTTTCAGAGTCATAAATAGGAAAGGGTGGGAGTATCTAGATGAAGTTGTGCCAAACATAGGGAGTGCCACGTGGGAAGAGACATGCATTGATTACATGAAAGTTGATGTGTGGGTAGATGACATCTAATCAATCTATGGAGTGATATTTTGGGGTTCTCAGGAGTCAGTGCAGGGTTTTGCAGGAACCCTAAAGTCTTCATCTTTCCTCTGAGTGAGAAAGTCCCCGATTCACAAACTGCTTTCTGAATTACTTTAAGTGATGAGATGAAATCAGTAAGAATATTTGTGGCAACATTCACCCTTATAGGGAAAAAACCTTTGGCACTTTGTGTGAAAGCAAAGACGCTGCCATCCCATCACCCTACCAAATTTCTGATGTGCAGATGAGAGCTCAGGTGGAAGGTGCTGCTCTGTGGCTTGTACTTAAGATACCAGGTCTGGGTAGCTGGGTGTTCTCTCTGAGCCGGTCACTGCTTTGATGTGTGACCTTCAGCAATTTGGGAACATTTTCCTGCCTTTTCCCACTGAGAAATCACTATACACTCTGCCTCCCTAGGTGCAGTAATGAGCTGCTTGAAAAAGTGTTTTGGGACACTTGGCAACAAGATTTCTCATTTAATTGGAGAGAGCATTTGTATTTCATGTAAAGGCAACACATGGTATTGAGGGAAGTTGGTTAACAGTTTCTCCCTGTCATCTCTGAGACGGATGAATGTGATGTTCCCTTCGTTTTGCTCACGTGCTCAGACACCTCAACGTGCTCAGCCCTGCTATGTCACCCTCTCTTCCCCAGTACAGATATTGAGAATACTTTGCTGAATATGGTTGAAGCTGACCAGGTCCACTGCCCTGGCTTTCAGGGAATGGTTCTTCCATGCTGGGTGAGCTGTTGGGATGTTGTGAGGAGGGCAGAGTGCCCATAACCCTCCCCACAGCTGCATGTTGGGAGAAGGTGGGGTTCCTGAGGCTGTGTGGGACAAGTGGCTGGTATGATGGTGTCTCCCATTTGTGTGTTGCAGATGGAGCTGCTGAAGGGACTGCCATTGCGCCGTACTTTCCTGGCTGTCGTCCTCAACCTGCTGGCTCTCACCCTCTCCACCACAGCCTTGCTGGGCAGCTACTGGTGCACTGGGACCCAGAAAGTACCCAAGCCTTTGTGTGGGAAGAGCAAAGCCTCCCAGTGTGTGGGTGTGCCCATGCCATCTGATGCAGACACGAGCAATGTTTCCTCTGAGGACACGGTGCACTACAGCTGGGAGACTGGGGATGACCGCTTTGCCTTCAGATACTTCCACACAGGGATGTGGCTTTCCTGTGAAGAGAGCATGGAGGGGCCAGGTAGTGTTTTGCTCAGGCAGCCACAACTTGTTGCCTTGTATTTACCCCACAGAAGTTTGAAACTGAAAGGTAGAAGGCTGAGAACACGTGGGAGAAAAGTATTCTTCCTTTTCCTAGATGGTATCAGCCCTGTGCACTGGTGCAGTCAATATATTTCTGTTCTTCACTGGAGTGTTCACAGATCAGGGAAATGGAGAGTGGTTGTCTCTGGTGTGCCCTTTGGTCAGGAACAGGGCCTGTGAAGTGCAAGTGATGGTGGTGGTGACAATGACCTTATGATAGCACTGTTCATCCTGATGGGAATTTCCATGAGCCTCCTTTCCCTTTCCCCCTATCTCCATTCCTATACACAGCTTACTTCGTGCTCTTCAGTAAATTTGTGATGTCCTCTCAGAAATCTAAGTACAGTGATTTTATGCAGATTATAATTTTTAGCTTTCACTGTGAGGACTACAATAGTTGGTGTTCTTAAATCATCCAACTGGGTAGTTTGGTGTTATTAAAAAGAGACTGGGCTTTTCTTAAAAAAAAAAACAAACTAATAAATAAAACAGAGAAAGGGAATTACTACCTTATAGATACAGAGAAAACCTGGAGGATCTGAACCCAAAGGAACTAAAGCTAGGAGGTAAATTAACCTAAGGATTAGAGCTGCAATATTGTAATTGCTTTTAGGTTTTGTGATATTGTGACAGGTTTTATTAGTGATTTTTGACCATGTGGGACTGGCACTGTAAATCCTGAAGAGCCAGAGACTGGTTGTGCAACCTGTACTAGAACCCTTTGGTGCTTCCCTTCACCCTTGACTTGTTTCTGCCCAGACCTGCTCAAGTTGTCCTGCTGATACCTGTTCCACACCAGCACAGGTGGGTGCTCTGCAGTGCTCAGATGCCCTTTACTGCATGGCACACACATCAAGGATCAGAACTGACCCAGAAGGTGGCCAACACAGAGATTTGTATCTAAAAATAGAGTGATGGAAGTCACTTTCACCAGGGCCATTCCCCTGAGCCCACCACCCTCCCTTCAGCTCTGCCCAAGTACAAATGTCTCACCTTCTTTAACCAAGCCATCCTTCCAGTATAATATTTTTCATCTCTGTGTCTGTCAGTTTGAAAATAAATAACTAGTGAAGAAAAGCAGACAGAAGGAGGGGTTAGAGCAGAAGGCAATGTGCTAGAAACTCTCATGTCCTCACAAGTGGGCTGCTTTTTGTTATGAGCATTTCCAGAAGGGCTGTGGAAGGAGATGTGTTTATTCATGACTGGCTTGGGTTGGGTTGTGTTTCCATGATGCGTGTGGGAATGAAACTACATCCCTCAACTGATTTCTCTAAACAACTTTTCTGTTCACTGGGCAGTCCTGGAATAACCCCAGTGCCTGAAGGAACAGAGAAAGTATGTAACATCTGGATCACAGCAGAACACGGGATAGAGCACGGGATAGAAGCACAGTCAGTCTCAGCCTCCTGCTTCCTGTAAATCACCCACCCACTACTGTGCATCTTTGAAGGAACTGCATAGACAACAAAAACAAAGAAGGGACTACTCTGAACAAAAGGAGTTTGAGTTAGCTGGAGAAAGGATTTCATTTTCAGGCTAATCGCGGGATCAGTTTAGATGAGCCATTACTGAATATCCTCATTAAAGTTCTAGGTGAAGGAGCAAATTGCAAGTTAATGAGAACCGCAGATGGCACTAAACTGGGTAGCATCCTGAGAGCTGTGGATGACAGAAGTAGCACAGGAGATTTGGAAAGATTAGAACTGGGGATAGAAATTAAGAAAATTAGATTCTTACATGAAGCGGAAAAGTCAGGGAGAAAATACTGTGCCAAGTGGAGGAGAGGACCCTCAAATGCAGTAATGCAGTATGCAGGGACAGAGGCTTACAGATAATAATGATGGACCCTCAGCTGAGACAGTAGTTTGCCAAAGCAAATGTTAACACAATTTGTTGAAATAGCATGCCTAAAATGTGAGGACCAAGGACCATATTTCTGTATGAGTCTCTGCCACAGAAGGGGGACTTGCATCTCTGTCACAAAGTATTTCACTGGGGAAGTTCTTTTTTTGCTTTCTTCTTTGAGAAGCAGTGCTAGAAATGCTCTTCTGAGATTAGGGTGTGTGGGAATTCAGCAGAAGTGATGGATCTGCAGTCTGTTACAAGCTACACCCTTAATAAAGCTGATCATCAGTAATATTGTGAATGAGTAGCAACAGATTTTTATATTCAACAGAGGCTAGAAAGATTTACAAATTGCTGAAGCTTTTTTTTTCTGAAAAGGTCATTTCTAGTTTTGCAGGAAAATGCTGCCTTCCCATCCTTTGCCTCAGTGAAGGTCTGGAAAGATAGAAAAAGACTGGAGGTGAGAAGGTCTGATGGGTGGATTCAGGGATGAATAGATGTATGCACTGAAAAGAGAGTGAGATGAAGAGATTCTCTTCTCCCCTGTGTTCCCTGCATTGTTTTATAATAAACTCAAAGCTTTGGTTTTGTGTTTCAGAAGAGAAATGCCGCAGCTTTATTGAGCTTTCACCACCAGCAGAGAGAGGTAAGAGCAAATCCCTCTATTTCACTGTAGCTGTACAGTGTGCCTCCTAGGGACAGGGACCTGCAGCATTTTGCCTGTATGGGGACAGCAGGGTGGGTCCCCAAAGAGCCAGGTAAGAAATCCTGTCCTTCTGGTTGCTAAAGGAGCAAAGATTTCCTCCCAGATGCTTGCATAAACCACTGCCATTTGTGAAGTCAGTGCTGGAAACCTCAGATTCCCTCCAGTATGAGGTGGGATTTCTCTCATGTTGTGAGTTGCCAGGTCTGGAGTTGTCATCTTGCTGTAGTAAAGGGGAACAGGATGGATGCAGCCTCAGGGCAGCCCCTCCTACACAGGCTACATGTTAACTCAGTGCTTCAGTTTTGGGGCCTAATACCATGAATCTGGAAGCTGAATCACCTCTTACTTTGTGGTAAGTGAACAGGATATCTGAAAATTACGCTTTCAAGGTGAAATCCCTGCCTCATTAAATACAAAACTACATTTGGGGAGATCACCCCTCCTGTCATTGTCACATGTTTCAAATCACTCTGTGGATAGCTTCAGTATACTTTGATGTACATATGTACTAAGTGTACATATGCTACGGAGATTCTACTTAATGAAGGCTTTTCAGTTGGTGTGGGCTTGCTAACTATTCCCTGAGATGCAGGCTGGAGACAAGTCATTTCAGAAGATGTTCATATATGAAGGGAAAGGCCTGGGGTGCAAAGCCTGCCACAGCACTCAAACCCTGAAAGCAAGGGTGTAATAAATGCTGGGGATTTGCAGGCACCATTTTCACCCCTTCCTGCACAAAGTATCACCTTAACATGACCAGTGCAGGTGCCGTTGTATGGCTGGGTTAGCACTGCACAAGGGGGTGTGACTGCTGACTGTGGGATGGGCTGGCTGAGCTGGGTGTGTGCAGAGCAGCTCCACAACACACAGGCAGCATTACAAGACCAAATTACACATCATCACTGGGAAGTTTAGACTCACAAGGAAAATGATGCAGAGGTCTCTGTGTATGTGTGGTGCCTGCAACCTCCAGAATGCTTTTGACAATTTGACCTTTAATGAAATATTCTCCTTGATGGTGCTGCAGCAAGCAAGCCAGCTCCTTTAAACAGGGAATGCAGCTCATCTATTTCTGCTAAAGAGCTGGTTGACTCTATGGCACTAATGATGTTGAGTATTCAAGTCAGTGCCACATTAATGAGGGTTTTCTTCACACTCCCTTTCCCCAGCTGAATATCTCCTCTACAGCCATTAATAGTTGCTAACAGTAGTGTTCACAGTGCTGCTTCATTTGTCAGATTAATGTTTCTTCCTCAGTGGATCCTGTGCTTTTCCACAGCCCAGCATTACAGAGTGCCTTTCTTCATCCTCCTTCAGTTCTTGCTGCACAGCTGTAGAACTCAGCTCAGCTGTGGACTCTGGTATCACTTAAATCCCACTCGAAATCCCAGCATGGAAGTACCTGCACTCTGTTCAAGGAGCAGGGTGGGCAGTCAGTGTTACTGCCCTGGCTGGATATCAACCCCAAGGGACACACTTTCATTTTAATTGAGGTTTCAGTGAGAAATACAGGGGTGCAAGAGGCTTCCTGAATTCCAGAGGCCATGTCCCAGACAGTCATGGATGCACCATATAGTTCTTAAATAGTTGAGTCCCAGGTTAAAAGTTGTTTGCTTTCATTGTTGTGATTAGAGTTTGAATGTGTTCATGGCCAACCTATGACCATTATATTTTATGCTAACAGTCAACAGCTTCCCTGTCTTTTTCCCTTTGCTTCCCTCCTTGCTGTTTATGAATGGTGCTGGCTTGTTTACAGAGGCCATTTTAGATCAGCTCAGCTCTGCCATGCTAGAGGAGCCAAGCCATCCTCTGTGACATGCACTCTGTGACATGCACTCTGTCCCCTCCAGCACCCATTGATCCCTTGCTCACAGGCTGGGGAGATTGCTTTTGGGTGTTTGCTGTTTTCCTTTGTCCCCTTCTATCCAAAGGACATCCTTTCAGGATTGGGTTGAGAGAGGGGAGTACTCTTCCTTGAACATGGTTGCATCCTGTACTCCTGGCAGGAATTCTGTGGCTGTCACTGGGATCAGAGATGCTGTACATCAGCTTGCTGCTCATCAGCTTCATCCTCCTGATGGTGGAAATTCTGCACACTGGCAATCCTGTCTGTGGGATGAAGCTCAATGCCTTTGCTGCTGTCTCCTCAGTGCTGTCAGGTAAGTGTATTATTGTAGTCTTGGAATCTCAGCACTGGAGAGCCTGCTTTTCCACTCAAGGCTGAAGTATGCTGCTCTGGCTCCTGCTGTAACTTCTTTGCTTTGTCCTTTGTGTCCAGGTCTCCTTGGGATGGTGGCACACATGATGTACACTCAAGTCTTCCAGGCAACAGTTAATCTGGGACCAGAGGACTGGAGGCCACACACATGGGACTATGGCTGGGCATTCTAGTACGTGAGCTCTGAGGCCATCTTCAACCCCAGCCTTTAGAGCTTCAGCCACGCCACCCGCTTCCTCCTCCTTTCTTGACCTTCTGTGTGTTCCAAAGACAGGTGTACCAAGGTTCTCCTACCACTAATCTCCTGTCTTTGCCTCACCCTGTTTTAATAAATGGTGGCTGAGCTACTTAAATGAATGGTTACCAAAGGAGTGGGAAAACAATGGGGTCACATTTGAACTGAATAGCCTTCAGCCTTGCTGACTAATTAGGCTTGCCCCTCTGCTGGTTTGCCCTGTTTGGTCTCAACTCTTCTCTGTGTGCAGAGGCCAGTGTCACACTTGTAATGATGCTTTCAAACACACCTTGTTTTTCTGCCGCTTTAACAAGTTGCATGCTGGTTTGGCATCTTCACTAACCAGTGTTGGGCCAAAGGGCCTATTCCTGCAACACCAACACCAAGCCTAGAGATGTGGGCAGAGCTCAGCCCCCAACCAGCAGCCACATCATCTCCAGTGCTGGCCCAGCCTATAATGGCAGCTCACTGGAGGCCAAGGCCATCTTAAGAAGGTACTACGTGCAGGAAGGAGGGAAAGCAGGCAGTACATCACAGGGTCACTTGTGAGCCAGGAAGAGGAGCTGTGAAAAGCAGGTGGCTCAGTGTGCCTTTCTCTAGAGGATAAAGCAGCCAAACCCAGTGGACATGACATACCTGACCTGAAAAACAGTTGGGTGAGCTTTGCAGGTGCCCATGGAAAGTGCAGGTTCAATTTCAATGCTGTATTGATGATGACCGCATTGATTCTCAAACACTCCAGTGCCCTCTGCCACCCGTGGAGATGAAATGCCAGAATGGCAATTTGGTTACACTCAGCCTCATGCACAGTAAGACACTGAGCGTCCAGCAATACAGAACTTGCTTCCAAGCTGTGCTCCCTTGCTCTGACCAGTTACAGATGTTCCTGCTGCCCTTTTCCCTGTGTCACCCCCTTCCCTGTCATGGGATGACCAATGTTTATCCCACTTATCTAAGAAGAATCCTGTGGTGGGATAACCCCTAAGAACTGTAATGCTATGAGCCTTAGTCACTCTAGTTCATGTCTGTGCCCAGTAGATTCTCTCTGGCAAACCAGGGAGAATTGGGGTGTGTCATGGTGTTCCTTACCCTACATGGCTTTTCACAGCATGTGCTTCTTCTGTGTGTCTCTGGCAGCATGGCCTGGGCCTCCTTCACCTGCTGCATGGCCTCTGCTGTCACCACTCTCAATACCTACACCAAGACGATACTGGAGTTCAAAAGGAACCACATCAAGGGATACGATGGGACCCTCAAGGATCACCCTCAGCACCACCAGTGCTTCATACAGCAAATAAGCAGCTACTATGAGCCCAAAGGCAAGGTCTTCCATTCAGTCTCTGAGGGAGTTGACTTCTACACTGATCTGCAGCAGAAAATACTCCAGAGGGAACCAGAGCTGGACCTGGATGAAGTCTTGGGCCAGACAATTGGGGAGGATCGCTGTTAGGGATGAGTGTACAGGGACAGAGCAGTGGGGTTTGGGAGGAACAAGAGCTCTGAACCAAGCACTGGCACCACTGGCAGGTTTGGGGGAGCTCTTCCAGGCTCTACAGGGAGTGAGGAGGCAGGCACTGGGTCAGGGCAACTAGAGTAGAAGTATGGGGGTCCTCCCTGGTCATATACAGTGTGATGGGTGCCCTCTTCTGACAAGGGTGAAACTGGAGGGACATGCTGGTCTCCAAGCACTTTCAGAGTTGAGTCAGATGTCCTGATCCCAGTATTGCTCTGGGGAGCAGATAGTCAGCACCATCCAGATGGCAAACTGCACTGCTGGGTGGTGTCACATTGCCCTTCCATCAGCACCTCCAGTTCAGTGTTCATATTGGTCAGCTGTCACCCTCTCTGAACACCCTGCTTATTCTTAATTTCCAGGCCCAAACTCTTCTCCCTGCCCCCAGATTAAAAGTCCTGCTGCAGTAGGAATAGGGGATAGCTTTCAGACATCTCCTCCTCCCTCCTATCTGTAATGACTCCCACATGTTCCCTTCTTGCTTTTTGCCCAGAAATCTCCCATTCTGAGGTACTTTGCTGTCTGCCTCTTTTTACTGTTTCTTCATAACCATTAAGAATTTGGCAGGACTTTTGCTTTTTATGTTACTTCTATTCATCTGTTCCTTTTTGTCCATTGTAAAAATATTGCAAACAACCCCTGAATCAGAACCCCAAGCAAACTCATAATCTCTCAAAGGTGAAACACTGGTTCACATGACACATGACGCTGTACACAGTATTTATTTTGTTTCACTGCAGTTCAAATACATTTTTCCAACAATATACAGACAGACTCTTTATTCACAGTGGGGGTAGGGGGGGTTGTGGGCAGGGTGAATTCACATTAAGGAGGAGCTAACATCACTGCTCTTGAATATCAGTTCTCTCAGGAAGAATCTCAGAAGTAACTACTTAGGTAACAGCCAATTCACCTTTCCCAGCAAGGTGGTGGCTGGACAGGAGGGAAGGAACACTCCTGTTTAATCCCTCATACGTTACTGGTCCTCACACTTTCAGTCCTATTCTGCAGCTCTGTTAACTGACACTAGCTCTACTATAAACACTAAACCCTGTCTGGAGGAAAATGCCAGGCCTAGAGCCATTGCTACAGTTGTGCTAATATATACAAAGCTATTTACACAAAAATACCATTAAACATATACAAACTGTTCACAGCTCTGACATTAGGAGATCAGGGCCCAAAGACCAGCCTTGGGGCTTGCAGCTAAACCTGAAGGGCTATCCTGGAAGCTTTATATAGAAATGTGGGATGATGGAAAGGGTGATACAGCAAAGGGAGGTGTGAAGGGCCCAGGAGAGCAAACCCATGGCTAATGTGCCCATCTGGAAGGAGGGTTAAAGTCTGCTATCACCTCATAACTCATGGGGAAATGTGGGAAGGCTGGAAGGGCACGTGCTAGACAGAAAAGTCCTTTGCAATCCTCATCTCAGCATGGCTCTGTTTAATATCAAAGGCCAGGCTTAGAATGGCATAGTAGGAAAGGAGTTCCTATATTGTTGCCCTAAACTACTGGTGGGGAACTACCAGGGTATCAAATTGTTTCACTTTTATATGTCTTTTCTACTACAAGAAAATTCAAGTGCAAGGGAGAATGATGGCACACTCTGGGACACAGAGTGGAACACACCTAACACACTGTGAACAAATGTGTCCCAGGGGTAGCTTGCTCCTCCTGGAGCTGCACACAGGGCTGGGCTGGCAAGGGAATGGCAATATTGAGCTCAGGATAGGGTTAAAATGCACAGAAAAGCTTTCTAGTTCTGTCTCTGAACCTCCAAACCCTGGGGCAGCAGCGTAAGAATCAGCTTTTCTGTGACAAGACTGAGTGACTTTTACAATGACATTTGGGATCTGCTGGACCTCCTATCCCAAGGGGGCTGTGATACATTGGCAAAGGGAGATTCTGCCCATTGGACTGCAGTTTGATGTTACAGTGACAATGTGGGTTCTTACAAACTTTAAGGATGGGGAGAAATAAACTGTGAACCTTTCACTTCTACATCACCCACATATGCCTGAACTTGGTGTCCTGAACTTGGAACTGGGAAAGAAAGACACAAGTGTAAGGGGCTGGCAAATGCTGTGGGGACCATCTTTCTCTAGATCAGGTAATTCAGCCAGAGAACTAGCTCGTTTGTGAGTCTGGCAACAGCATGGACAAGAGAGCTGAGAGCACAGGAGAAGTCATAGATAAGACTAAACCTGCAGGAGCCAGAGACTTCTCTCCAAAAATAAAAAGATTAAGGTGTCCTTTAGCCACACCACTTGCCTTGACTCATCATGGCTCACTCTAGGCATAGAGCTTGTTAGACTGCTTGGAAACACTGTCCGGACATAAAAAGGTGTGTCCTAAATCTCATTCATAAATTAAACATACAAAAAATATACATACATTGTATAAATTAACACATATATATATAAAGCCTGATTTTATATATATATATGTATATAACCTCTAAATTCACATTTCTGTGTTACCTGGAAGGAAGCATGCAAGAACAGCACACGGAGAGGGAGTTGCTGAGCAAGGTTTCTCTGGTACAGAACAGGTCTGCCTAGGACAAACCTGCCTCCAGCAGCATTCCCCAGACAGCTGAAGAAAGGGGAAGTGCTTTTAGACCCCATTCCCTCTATATAGCCATTTTCCTGAAGATACACAGAGCAGCTTCCTATATTCCCAGTGCAGGCCACAGGTCCAACCAACATCTGAGGAACCACCAGGCTAGAACTGAAGAAGGAAAGGCAAACAAACATTAAAGCCAAAATCTATTATCATCCAGTCTGGAAAAGTAAAGTCAGCAACAGAACATGGGCACCACCATATGGAGGACCCTTGCTTGCCCATGTCAAAACAAGTGATCTCAGTCCCACCTCTCTGATCCCTCTGCAAGTCTCTCAGTCTCTTATGATCATCATCCCTGCTTCTTTCTAAGATCCTGGGCTGTGCTCAACTGCCTAAATACATCTTTGCATCACAATCTGTCCATCTTATGCCCAAAGGGGCAGCCAGTCATCTTGCAAACAGTCATTTTGCATCCCACCAGTCTCCTTCCAACCCAAAGAGCACCTTAACTGCGTCTGTAGGGAAGAGATCAGATGTTTTCAAAGGCCTGGATTTCATGAGGGATTCCTGCACAATCTCACCTTCTGAGGAAAGTCAGCAAATTTCATCCGGGCCAGAAATCGCCTCACTTCTCCACGGCTGATTTTTGGAGTCCTGCTGTCCTTTAACCACACCATTCGGCCCTGGCTCATCATGGCCCACTTCAGGCCCAGCTTGCTGACCGACAGAAATCCTGGCTGCTTTTCAGAGGTTGCAGTTGTTGTCACAGTGATGTGAAATGCATCCTTTTGGAGGTCATTAATTCCAACTGGTCCATCAGAAAAGGGCAAGAAAACAGTGGTGAGGAGGAAATGATTATGGTTCTTCCTAAAGAAATGTTATAGCCCTTACTCAATCAAAACATCCATGAGACTGATAGCATATTCAGTCTGACTTTACAATTCCATGTACTTTAGTTGATAAGGGAATATTATTTTAATATTTTTCCATGGATAGAAACTGAAATATAGATCAGAAATGGAAGGGTTTGGTTCCAGGTTATGTTTTTGGGCTTGACATAGGATATGAGCATATTTCAAGAATACAGTTCACTCTCAGCTCTCCTTCCCACACCTGTTAGTAGCTATTTTTTACCTCTATAAAACTCGAAATTTGTAAAGCACTGGCAAATCAGGTGACTCCAGTCACTGCAGAATGATCTGTACAGACCTCAGAAATCCTAGTTTCTAAAAAAAAACCCTGTAACAATAGTATTCTATTTGTTCTTGCCTGAACTGTGTTTTTGATTCAAGTCCAATTAGATGTTATTACTATGCAGCAGTTTTTCTACACTTCCTGGCCTACTTCTCTTAGTTCTGGATGAACTGATCTTTTATCCCACACTCCCATGCACAAGAGGCTAGTTATTTGCTGAATTGCTTTAGAAAGAGCAAGAAAGTTGAACAGGGACTGTACAATCTTGTACAGATGTTAAATCCAGATCTACTTTTCCCTCAAAACACACTTATATATTTTGATTCCCCCTTACAAAAATAAAGAGGAAGTAGAACAGCTCCTATCCCAAAGAGCGGGAGATGACCAACAAAAGCAGAAGTGTATCTGAGGTGACAGAGAGAAGTCACAGAGTGATTTTTTTATGCACAACATTAAATTCAAAATAGCTCCATGGAAAGCAACACAACTTCTCTGGTGTAGAACATGCATTAAACCTGCCATTGCTTAAACATGTAAGAAACTTTTTGAGTGTTTTATTTGCAAAGTAGGGAGTGGACAGGATGCTCCTTCAGAAGGAAGATGAATCCTATTTCCCATTGTCATGCTATGTGTGGTGGACTTTTGGTGCTCCCTTTAAAGGCACAACTGCAGCCCATTGTTTCTCACAGCTACTTCTCTCTCTCTATTTCTAGTCTAGGTAGTTTCTCCTCCATTTGTACTCACCTGCTGAAGCAATGACTTTGTCTGTTGCATTGGTGAGGTCCAGAAGGACTGTAGGAAAAACAGGATGGAGAAGATAGAGGTGGTGCAGCCCTGGGCGCTCAGGTCTGGGACCAGGTTGCTGTTGGAATGAAAGACACAAAAACATTAACAACTGTTAGCAAAGGGGAGTCCAGCTTTGTCAAAAAAATAAAGTTTTCTGACACTGTGTTGTTTTTACATGGATCAAAGAATGAAAACGTGTGGTTTTACAAAGATTAAATCCTGAAACCATTTTTTCCCTAAAACAGAATTTGCTCTACAATTTCTCTTTGATAAGGTTGAAATCTAGCTCTGTCATATGCAGCTTGATGGGCAAAGCTACAGTCTGGAAGTTTGAGTCTCAATGCCAAACTGTGTGCCTGCATGGACAGAAGGAGCACTCTGGGCTGGGAAC